GAGAAGAGAGGGCTCAAAAGCCTGGATTCCCCGCTATTAAAGTGACATTACCTATTTCAGTTTCTGTAGGATCAGTATTTATTCATTGCTTTAATTCCTTTCCCATTTCTGATGATTTAGTTCCTTTTATCCACCTGCCAGAATCCTTTTTGACTGCCAGGTCTAATGTTAACTGGGATTTATATTCTCAGTTTGTCACACTCTTGATTTTATGGAGTAAGGTGTTAGTGTTTTTGTTTTTGTACATTGCCAGAGAGTGTGTGTGTGCTTGTCAGAGTCAGAGAGACGGAGAAAGTGGGGCGTGAGAAAGCATTCCCCATTCAGGCATGGTCATGCTGCAAACCCTTCTCCATTTCTCTGTCTTGTCAGGATTTGAGGCATGCATGCCCTCATGTTTTTCAAGCCATGGGGCAGGGATTCAAACTGTGGTTGGCCATGTGGGACCCAGTTGCCTTCACCACAAGGCCACAGGGCTGGCCCATGGAGCTAGATTTCTTGCTTCATGATTATCTAGAATAATTATTAAAACTGCCTATTTCCAAACCATTGCCTGGTTATGGCTTGGGAATTTATATTTTAAATAAACTCTTCAGATAATTTAAAAATGAACTACAACGTAATCACTGTTACAGGCTTAGTAGAGAAGGGTCCTAGTTATTAACTTCAGATTTAGATGGATACAAATTTTTGACACACAATGCAAAAGAAAAAAAGATTTTCATAGGTGAAATTCTAAAAAAATAATTTTTTTTTAGTAAGTATATACTTTTGTCCCCAATAATAAAAACAACACATACTACTTTTTGAGAGGTGGTTTTTTTTTTGGCTGAAGAGTGCATGCACTCACTGGAGAGACGGAGAGATAGAAAGCAAGAAATCATCCCCCAAAGGGATAACCATGCTGTGATCTCTTCTTTCCATTGTCTTCTCAGGATTTTGGGCACATATGCAGAAGTTCCGGGCATGAATTTCAAGCCACCGGGTCTGGTACTCAAACTGTGGTTGACCATGTGAGAGTCCAGCACCTTACCCATTATGCCACCTGCTGGTCCCAACACAAACTATTTTAGTTGGAACTATTGAGAAATATATAGAGTGAAAATCACTTGGAACCCCAGAGCCCTGAGATAATTAGTACTACCTTTCGAGTGCCTGTCCCTTAACACATCTCTACACAGACATGGGATACATAAAGGTGAGTAGATCATGCTTGCTGTCTTTATTGTAGATGTCCTTCTATAAAAATCATGGTTTAACCTTTCCTTTCTTCCTCTCTCTCTCTTTTTTAAGTTTTTCTTTCTGTATTCCTCTCCCTTATGATCCTCTTTTCTGCATATCCCCAGCCACCCCGTAATTTATTTTAATAGCTTGATATTTATCACTTTATTAACTTTTCCTAGATCATATATACCAAGTATTTAAATAAGGATTTATAATTATTTATTTCACAAAAGTGGGAGCATATTATAGATACATATATCTTGGGCTTTTCACTTAAAATAAATTATGGAATTCCCTTCACTCAACTGGCATAGAGCTAATTCATTTCACTCAATGGCTGCATAAAAATGACACATTCAATCACTTCTCTAGGATGGATAATGTCGTCTTTAGCTTTTTTTGTCATTACACACAGCCTTGCACATAAATCTTATGGGAGTAGGGCTTTTATTTTTGTGGAATAAATTCTCATAAGTGGAACTGCTGGGCTAAAGGGTATGTAAACTGTTCATTTTAATAAGTATTGTTACAATAACGTCCAAGGAAAAGGTCAAGTCCTGTTTTCAGCCGTGTTACATGAAAATATCCTTCTACCCTTATCTACGCCAGCTATAGGCAGACTCACTTTCAAAAACCTTGCCCACCTGGTCAGTGCGGGTTAATACTGCATTGTGGCTTGCACTTGCATTTCCTTGACTCCTTGCATTTTGTTGAATCTAAATCTTTTCCTAAAAATATTTATTGGTGATTTTCATTTGTTCTTCTTTAAATTGCTTTTTCCATAATTTTTTTTCCTTTTCTTTATGTGATGGGTTGTGTTTTTAGCATTTGCAAGGACTTTTTGGTGTTCTATGTATTAATCTTTAAAAACATTTTTCAAAATATTTTTGTATCTTTTAAACGGTTCTATCATCTACTATTACTACCTTTTACTTTACAACTTTTAGTTTTCTTTCCTAGACAATTGGAATATATTATATATATATATGAGAGAGAGAGAGAGATGCACACACCATAGACTCTTCAAAAAGTATACGAATGGGGACCAGCAGTTAGCATAATGGCTATGTCGCTGGACTCCCACGTAGTTGACCG